TTCCTGTGACTCCCTAACATGTGTTCTGTGTTTTGTAAGTGACCTGAACGCTAAAATCGAGCACATACCTTCATAATCGTGCAAAGAGTGGTTGCCTTAGAGTGATTCATGCAATTGATTACTCGCGTCACAGAGCATAATTGTTCCTGGAGCCTCGCTAGATGCGGGTTGCGTTGTTTACTTTTCAATAACCGAGAATTATTAATTGGATATTCAGGATCAGCTTTAATACGGCGGATATTGCTCTAAAATGTTACATATCAGCGCGATAGGGTGTCATATTCTTTTCTAAACCATAGTGCGTAGTAATGGGGAAATTGTATACACGCTTATGAGACTTGTATTTTGCTGGGCCGATGCTACAGATTCTGTGCAATTATTTGCTATTTACGGGGTGAAAATATTTCTTTTGTTATATGTCTTACATTATAACGTTACTATGTTAACAAAATTACAAGCAGTATGTGGAATAAAATGTATCTAAATGGAAAAGTTGAACATAGATATTCATATGATTTCATTAAATTCCCATTTCTTTCTTTCTCTTTACATTTCCTCACATCATTAAAAACGTATAAATGTATATTAAAACTGCAACGAATGTGTAAGAAAAAACGAACAGCACGCCTGTGAAATAACGAGAGAGAATTGGTTGAAATGATTCTAATGTCAATTGCCAATATACTTAATCAGTCGCTGATTTAAGTACTTGGTTAGATGTGTAGTTTCATGGTGTTTTTTTTTTCTCATTTCTTTACAAGGACGGTGATGAACGTGACGAGAATAAACAAAATGGAACAATATATTACAAGGACGGAGATAAACGCTGCGAGAATAAACAAAGAGAAACTATAACACTAAATATTTACTATTGTAGATCTACAGGTAGAGAGAGAGAGAGAGAGAGAGAGGGAGGGAGGGAGGGAGGGAGGGAGAGAGGAAGAGAGAGAGAGAGAGAGAGAGAGAGAGAGAGAGAGAGAGAGAGAGAGAGAGAGAGAGAGAGAGAGAGAGAGAGAAGAGAGAGACAGAGAGAGAGAGAGAGAGAGAGAGAGAGAGAGAGGAGAGAGAGAGAGAGAGAGAGAGAGAGAGAGAGAGAGAGAAGAGAGAGAGAGAAGAGAGAGAGAGAGAGAGAGAGAGAGAGAGAGAGAGAGAGAGAGAGAGAGAGAGAGAGAGAGAGAGAGAGAGAGAGAGAGAGAGAGAGAGAGAGAGAGAGAGAGAGAGAGAGAGAGATACACATTCAATGGTAGGCCTATAGACAGTTTAAAGAAGAAAATGGTCAAGCAGCCAACAGGAGAGGCGAGAACGTTCAGAAAATATAATATTTTTGTAACGGCTCCAACTTCTGACGCCGAATCCGCTATCCAATTCTCAAGTGAAGATTGATAGTTATCAAGTTTCACCTTACTTCTCGACCAAAGTTTGAAGTGAGGCTACTTTTTGCCTTGATGGGAAAGGGAGACCGTAATCTTCGCTTAATGATATTAATGGTGATGATAATGATAATAACGTAAATGATGATGATAATGATAACAACAAACCAACAATAATGACGATAAAGATAACAACAAACCAACAATAATGACGATAATGATAATAATGATAATAATGATATATAATGATATGATATAATAATAATGATAATAATAATGGTACTAATAATGATAATAATAATAACAATAATAATGATAATGACAATGGTAATAATAATGACAATGATAATACATGATGATAGTGATCATAACAATGATGATAATTATAATAACAGTGATTATAATACTGATAATAACAATACTGATAATGATAATAATGATATTGATAATCATAATAACAATGATAATAATAAATCATTAACAATTGCATTTTCCAATTTCTTCCTTAATTCTAGGAGAAATAATTAATAGATAAAATAATTTGATTGAAGACGTAAACAGAACGATCTACCAGAAGAAATTGAAAGAAAAAAAAAGTATTAAGGAAAAACACAATGGCGATAGTTGCTTCCATACATTATTATTATTTTTTTTTTTTAGCAAGAGAGTCAAAACAATGATTTAATACGTAAAGTCTTTCCTAAGACACGTAGGCAATGCGAGATACGGATACGTACGTATCTTTCAGCCATAAACTTGTAGCTCACGGAGGATTTGATAAGATTGAGTCTGCAATGACAAACGTGAGCTGTCAGAGAAATGGAAAAAAAAAAGACTTTTAAACTTTGAAATATAACCGAGAGTATATTTCAGCAAGGGATGAGGGGGGGAGGGGGAGAGGCAGAAAATCATATAAAAACATTATCTAAAAGAAATGGGATGGGAAGGTTAAGAGAAATGAAACTAGGTATAGTTGGTCCAATCAATATCTAGATGTAGGACAACTGTTCAGAACATTAAACTGTGAGACGTCAAATATTCATTCAAAATCTGATATAAATCATTGTGATAAACTGAAATCCACAGGACAGGTGTCTGTGCTAGTGAATATCAGGATAAAATACACTATATATTGCTCTTTTGAAGATCATTGCAACTTAAATCTGGACTAACTGGTAGTTAATAAAATCAAGAAGTTATATAGCTTTTCGGAAGTTATTAAGATTACTATCATTATTTTTGTTTATCATTAAAAACTCAACTAATTCGGCTGAGAATTAGACTAACTGAAGTCCACAATTTCAAGATCTCAAACTATTGTTAAAAAATATATATATCTACAATCCTACTTCAGGAGAATCATTGTAAAAAAAAAAAAAAAAAAAAAAAAAAGATTTATCTGCAACCCTACTTCAGGAGAATCATTGTAAAAAAAAAAAAAAAAAAAAAAAAAAGATTTATCTGCAATCCTACTTATGGAGAATCAACGGACTCCACGATTGCAATAACACAAACAATACGACTTTCCTTTTGGTGAAACCTTTGCCCTCCATATGCACTGACACCCTTTGGCCGCAGGAAAAACGGCGAAAGAAAGACGAAGAGGATAAAATAAGATAAAAAAATGAAGGAGAAAAAAGTTTGATTCTCTGCAGCTGGAAGAACGACCTGCCACAGACTCGCTCAATGGAAGAATTAGAGTCTCATTTGACTAGGCTATGTTACGAGCTCGTCTGGTTGTAGGCTGGGCTGACGTAATGCCAAAAGGTGACGGATAACAACGACTGATCGTGTCGGATAATTTTTTTTTTTCTTTTTTTTTTAGATGAAATCCGAAGTCATTGGCTAGATTGTTAAGTATGATTATTTGACACAGTTTCTCTGAATTCTTGTTGCTTCGTGTGAGGATGTGAAACTGGTATTATGAATGTGATGATTGCATTGTCAAGGGGAGAGAGAGAGAGAGAGAGAGAGAGAGAGAGAGAGAGAGAGAGAGAGAGAGAGAGAGAGAGAGAGAGAGAGAGAGAGAGAGAGAGAGAGAGAGAGAGAGAGAGAGAGAGAGAGAGAGAGAGAGAGAGAGAGAGAGAGAGAGAGAAGAGAGAGAGAGAGAGAGAGAGAGAGAGAGAGAGAGAGAAGAAGAGAGAGAGAGAGAGAGAAGAAAGAGAGAGAGTGAGAGAGAGAGTGAGAGTGAGAGAGAGAGAGAGACAGAGACAGAGAGACAGAGACAGAAAGAGAGAAAGAGAGAGAAACCCAAAAAAGAAAAAAACAAAATGCACAAACCTTAAAATTCTTTCAAGTTTCAAATGTTCTGCTTTACCATTTCTGTGTCAGTGGATCCAAGGGCAGCAGGCATTGGTGGACGACAGTGACACAAAAGTATGTCAATGAAGCGATGGTTTACAATGATAAATATTCAGGATATTTATTAATTTACGTGATATGCAACAAGAAGCCGTGGCAGCATATACGGCATGAGTTGAGTATGACAGAGTTACAATGAAAAGGAATTTAGAAACTAATAATAATCTAAACCTTTAGCCTACAGTGAACAAAATTTTGACCTTCACAGTTACACTGAAAAGAAAAGAAAGATAAAAAAAGTTGCAGTGAAAACGAAATTTGGAAACAAATAACAGTCTAAACCGGTGTTTGTCAACCTTTTCTTTCTTCTGTGTCCCCGACCTGTATACAAATAATCTCCATGACCTCGTTCATTGTCTGTCATCTTTTCAGACAATTATTACTACTTATGAACAGTATAATGGTGCTAACAACTATAGGATAAGACCACTATTATTCATTTTATTATTTTATTATTATTATTTTATCATTTTATCATTTTATTATTATTCACTATTATTATTATTATCATTAATATTATTATCATTATCATTCAGATTTATTGATGTGTAAGAGAAAATCTGGTTTAATTCGAAATTATTATTTTTATACTGGTCCATGACCCTCCAGAATGTATCCCATGACCATAGGTTGAGAATTCCTAATCGATAGCTTTAAAAATTGTTCAAATTGTGCAAGGTCCGACTCGATTAACATTCATGCATATATACAGCAATAAATGCATCTGTCTATCTATCTGATAGATATACATATACTTATCTATTTATCTAGATATACATTTACTTATCTATTTATCTAGATATACATTTACTTATCTATTTATCTACATATACATTTACTTATCTATTTATCTAGATATACATTTACCTATCTATTTATCTAGATATACATTTACTTATCTATTTATCCGGTAGATATGCACGTCTAGGCTGATCGACACGTATTTATTTGTTTATGCAACATTCATTGGGTCGGACCTCGCAAAAATTTAAAAAACCGACCGTTGGACTGGAATTGTTTTTCTTTTTCACCGAGACCGCGTCCGAATCCTCCTTGTTGATTTTGTGGTTTTGATCGACTTCTTTTCGTTTGTGTGTGTGCGTGCGTTTTTGTGTGTGTGAGTGTGCCTAGTTTTTATTTTTCTCCTTATTCATTTTTTTTCCCTTACCGCGGCCTTTGGTTATCGCTTCTCGTCTCTTACTTCACGTCTATGAACTTCCATTTTCTTCTTTTCTTTGGCTCTCTCTTCACTTCCCTGTTAATGACAGG